CAAATTTATAAACATGGTAATTCAGCAATCTGCCCATACAAAATTTTTCAATCCAGCAATTTGCAAATTAGATTCTCAAAACTTGTAACACAATTACACATTTCGCTCCGGCATTTCCCTTTTCCTGCAGCGCCGATGAAATTTACGAAAGAATAATTACGCGACACAATTAACCCCGCGTATAATTAGCTGATAAATTTCAGCGTTAATTGCCGGTCATTATGGTCGCTCGAGATTAATCGTCCGCGATCGCTTGATATTTAAATTAAAAGCAATCTCCCGGGGTTCGTGCGAGGCAGCGGTGTGTCTCCTCGAATATTATATTACATTCCTCCTGGTGAGCTTCGAAAAAAATTTCAACAGTGTTACTTGGCGAAACGAATTGATTCACGAACAAGGATTATTGCCGTGGAAAGAGTTCTTGGTTATTGTCGGTTTAATTTCTGTCTTCACGGTTGTTAGTCGCTTTATTAAATCCGTTTCGTTAAAGAGACTGTTTGAATGAAACACCATGAGGAGTATTAAAAATATTTTATTTCGAATGACTTTATTAAGTCGTGTCTTTTTAATAGCCGGATTTTATTTCTGTCTTCAAAATGGCGAAATGGTTCATCAATATTTCTATTTAGGTTATGTTACACGTTTAGGTTATGTTGATACGAGTTATATAGCCACGATGTATTATGATATATTGCCACGTATTAAATTGTTAATCTTTGAAGATTTTTGGTAAAATTAGATTTTTAAATAATAAAAATATAATGTTACAGTGAATAAAAATAAAAATGATATAAATCATATGATGGATTAATTTGATGTAATTTAAATTAAATTATACTATAATTAAACTGTGGTATATTAAACTACATTGAATTAAATTAAATTATGTTACAATTTAATTATGCAAAATTAAATTACATGAACATAAATTAAATTATGCTACAATTTAACTGTACTGAAGTAAATTACATTAAACTAGAATAAATTATGCTATAATTAAATTATATCAAATTAAATTACATGAAGATAAATTAAATTATACCAAATTAAATTACATGAACGTAAACTAAATTATTACTACAATTGAACTGTACTAAATTAAATTACATTAAGCCAAATTAAATTATACTATAATTTAACTATACTAAATTAAATTATTATTAAACAAAATTACATTTTGCTACAATTAAGTTATACTAAATTAAATTATATTACAACTAAATTACACCAAATTAAATTAACATAGAAATAAATTAAATTATACCACAGTTGAATAAAAAATTAAATTAAATTAAACTAAATTACCATTGAAAATGACAGCACAATTTTGGTATCATAAAAGTATTATTATTAACAAAATAAAATTTGGCTATATGATCCATATAAAATATTACAAACAATCATAGCAATCTAACAAAACACTATATATTTTACTTTCTGTACTTTCTTACTAATAAATAGAAGTGATATGTTAACAACACTCATTACTAATTCTTCATTAGACTATTTGCACAAATCATATACCCCAGAATTGTTAATCAATTTGATTTGTTTGTTCGAGTAAATCAGTTCGAATTTCACGTTTCACCGAGCAAAATCAGTATCAATCGAATTAGTCGATTAACCAACGTGTCGCAACGTTATAATGAATGATAATGAAACACAAAGTGGAAAGAACTCGATACAATTCTTTACGCACAATAGACTATAAATCAACGAACTGTTGGCTAGTCTCGATTAGATCGTGAATCACGTTTTGTATTGATAGAAACGTATCATTACGTTTTATAATGCGTTTACACTGCGTGACTCACGTTGAGCGAATTTCCATCGCGATAGATATCGATTCGATTTCTATTCGATTCGGAAACCCTATCGTCGACATCGACGGATGTTCATAAATAACGTTGCTGGTATTTTATAGGACAAGAAAATATGGGGGTGTTTGAAAACTGTAATTATAATTGAATTATGCAGGGAATTGAAATTTATCTTATACGGTAATTGCGAGATATGGCAATTAACCTATAATTGTATATTATTTAAAATAATAGTTAGACGTAAGTTATGTTTCGTTGAAATTGGAGAATAATTGAAAAACATGATTTATTAAACTTTGTGGTAGACTTTTAGAGAACTAGAATTTTTTAAAATGATTTTTAGTAAGTTAATGAAATACGTGGATGGAATTCATGATTATACATATACTTGTTAGCTATTTCAACTTGTTAGTTATTTCAACTAAGCTTGTAATTATAATAAATAAAGAAAGTTAAATTGGTATTGTTTTATTATTAAGTTTATAATGTATTGAATATTAAAAATAGTTTATTGTAAATTGTTAAAAATTATTAAAGGATTCAGTAGTGCAAGTCAATGTATGGTGAGTCTCGTGGTTCCTCCATTTCCCATAATGCCACAAGGACGAGGTCACATGAAATCTTTCACCAAATCTAACTTAAAATTTAGATAATTTTTTGGTTACAAATTTATCTACTTTCTAATTTATAAATGTTCACGTTCATGAATATTCCTAGCTTCAAATTTTTATTCAAACATCTTAATTTTTCCATTTTTAAATTAGCAAAGTTTTATATTTTCCAATTTTTTAAATTGCAAATTTTTATATTTTCCAATTTTCAAGTACCCAAATTCCTAAATTTTACAAATTCTCAAACTTGTAAATTTTAAAATCCCAACATTGTTGGATTAAAAAATCATGTGTATATGTATAATAATATACATATGTACACATACACATTAACAGATAATAGTATACATATGTATAATATTAAATAAAATTTGTCCTTTTCTCTCAATAAAATACACATGTACATGCACACATGAGTGGGTAATAGATGAGGGTATACATATGTGTAATAATATTAAAATTTTTACTTTTAATAAAATATACATGTATATAAATATTAATGTGTATGTGTATTAATTGCATGTGTGTGTTTATATGGTATATGTATAAATGCATGTATATGTGTGTGTGTATGTATACATATGAGTATTGTATATGTAAGTTTGAATATATGTATATTAATATATATGTATGTGTGAATATGTGTATATGAGTATATATGCATGTGTGAATATATGTATATGAGAATATATGCATGTGTGAATATGTGTATATGAGTATATATGCATATGTGAATATATGTATATGAGAATATATGCATGTGTGAATATGTGTATATGAGAATATATGCATGTGTGAATATGTGTATATGAGAATATATGTGTATGTGAATACATATATGTATATGAGTATATGTGCATGTGTGAATATATGTATATGAATATATGTATATGTATGCGTGAATATACAATGAATATACAGTGAATATACACACAATTCGTGTAAATCGAATTTAGACGATAGAACGCGTAAGCGTGCACGGCTGCATTAGCGATTGCTAATAGACCGTGAACCCGTGGCAGCTTTTATTGTATCGTAAATCACTAGACCACGAATGCAGATATAATGCCTCTTTACGCAATACGATATCATATTTCACGTAATGGTACCTATCGTGTACTATAATTGTAGGCTTATTTTACAGCCGACACACGCCACGAGAGACACATTTGCAATCGGCCTAACTCGAATAATTATTACGACTAACTCTCGATAAAGAGATCAACTGATACACCTTATCCTATGAACTATCGACACACGAGGCAGTAAATAGCGATATAATTAACGTGGCTCGCGATCATGCATCTGTTCGAATGATCTGGATCGTAGAAAGCGATCCTCGTTACTGAACTATCGTCGTTTCTTTCGGTTGAAAGAGAAACTGACGTTATGAGCCGAGGAATTTATGATCGTGGATTATTTTTTTATTTTATTGAGGTTTCCTTTTGACGTGAGTTTAATTTGATTTATGGTGTGAGTTAGAAATATTTGTGGGGGTTTGGGAATTTGGGAATTTGGATTTAGTGATTTGGGGATTTGGAGATTTTAAAATTTGGGTATTTAGGAATTTGGTAATTTTGGAATTGGAAATTTTAGAATTTGGATGTTTAGAAATTTGATAATTTTGAATTTTGAAATTTTAGAATTTGGGTATTTAGAAATTTTATAATTTTGATATTGAAAATTTAGGAATTCAGATTTTTAGAAATTTCACAATTTTGAAATAGGAAATTTAGGAATTTGGATTTTTAGAAATTTCACAATTTTGGAATTGGAAATATAGGAATTCGGATTTTTAGAAATTTGACAATTTTGAAATTGGAAATTTTGAAATTTGAATATTAAAAAATTTGACAATTTCAAATTTCACAATTTGAGTACATCATGATTAATATTTTAAAAATTAAGAATTCTGAATATTTAGAAATTTTACAATTTACAGACTTGCAATTTACATTAAAAAATTCAGAAGCTTGGAAATCTAGAAACCCAGTAATTTGAAGATTTAAATAATTATGGAATTTGACAGGATAACACATTTTTCTTTCGTTTTTATTTCTGTATTTATTTCTCATTAACAGACAGTCTTAACACTGATCTAAGATGAATAAATATTCTGTATCTTCGAAGTACATATGTGGTATATGAACTTGCAGTATCTACCTCTATATCAGTGCAGTGTTCAAGAAGTGATGTATCATAACAAGCATTACACACATGATTCACTTTTTATCAGTCATTTCTACTGAATTCAATGTATTCAAAAGTCATAGACATAACATACCATGATCATCTTAATTAAATTTAAATCGTACTCGACAAATAAGTGTATTTAATTTAATTTTAAATACCATGATCAAAATACATTTATATATATCAATTGTTGAATATAAAGAATTTGTGGAAAAATAATTTCATTTTCTAAATTATTTTTTGCTACTCTTTCTACATAATTTTGTAAGCATAATTGTAAAAATGTAAGAACAATTGCAAAAATATTATAAATGTAATGTAGAACAATATGTTACAAATTAAAATAATGATTAAATTATGAAATTATGATTCTCTTTTTAACATCACAAAATGAAAAAACTTTCCCACAATTATCAAAAAACGTACTAATAAAACTTAGAAAACATATGTAAATATATTTTTATGCGACATAACAATGAAATGCAATAATTAATTTAATTATAAATTTGAAAGCAATGAATGCACATGAATGAAATATCACAAAAAAGGAACTAGTATCGTTCGTTGGTTTCGATAAAAAATAATTAAAAATCGACAGTATTAAAAACATTACTGTTAAAAATAATATTACTTTCTCAATAACCCTAGAGTGAGCATATGTGGTTTCACAGACCACTACAGTAATTATATATTGCATTATTTACTCATTTGCATTACATTTAATTTGCAATGTTTATTATCTTTTTTCTGATTATTCTGATATAATATTTTTCGTTAATTATCTGATTGAAAATAGTTTAGCTTTCATTATGTTAGTATGTGTAGTAGACTCTTGTTATTTCGCCATAAATAGTACAATCGCAAATTATTGAAATTGGCAATATAGGAAGAGTTCCTTCTGTGCAGCATTTGTAAGTTTCAATATTTGAAATTAAACAATTTCAATATCCTTAATTTCAATACTCAACTATTTTTAAGTCAAAAAACCTAAAAATTTTTCAATTTCTAATTTGCAAATCAGCAAATTCTTCACCTCAAAACTTTTCAAATTTGAAAATTTCTGAATGTCAAAATTCACAAATCTGACAACTACAAAATACTGATGCTCATAAATATTAACTTTCACCGAAGAATTTCATTTAAACAATTTTTAAATTTTGAAGGATATAAATTCGAAAATTTAGAAGTTCTCGTATTTATTAAAACAATGCCTGCTCTAGGATTAAACGAAGACAAAATATATTAATTATGTGACCCAGCCTCGCAACACACGTATAACATCGCACCATCTCCAAGATAAATAATAAGTCGAAAAAAAAATAAAAGCATCAGTCGTATTTTCCACATCATAGTCTCTGTTCGTGGATTTAATCGCGAGGCAGAGGTATGATACCGATTTTCTTTCCTTCTTCGTCCTCGTTCAAAGTCAAACCCATCTCCTGCAGCACGCTGCTCTCCACGATTCCTACTCTCGTGCAATTCTGGATGATCTCTTGATTTTCAAGATTGTTCTCGCATAAATTCCGCAGAGCCAGTATCGTCCATTGCATTATAACTGCAAGCGTGAAATTGAATCGCGCCGGGATACGGCGTCGATCCCCGTTAATTAGTTGAAATATGAATCATCGGCGTGATCACAATAAACGATTAATTAAACACGCGGCGTTCAACTTACGTGGATTCTTCGCGTCTATATTGCAGCAGTCCAGGAGCAGAGGCAAGGCGTCCATTTCGCGAAGCTGAAAATATGGAACGTCGTTGAGAAGTTACGCGTCGTATAAAATCGCGAGATTACCGCCGTAAATATTCGAATAAAACCGACGCGAATCAAGTCGTGAACGTCGGATCTCTTTCTTTCGGTTCTAGAAAAGATCCGGAGTCTTAGTAACACTCGTGATGAAAAACGTACACAAAAACGCAAGGTTCTATGTATATCACAAATTTAAAGAGAAAATTCCCATTTGGCAGTCATTTAGAGAACTTGAATAGGAAACTTAAAATTTTTAAATTTGATAAACTGAAAAATTGTAGTTTTATACACTTAAGAACTTGAAAGTCTGAAAATATGAAATTTCAAGAAACAAGATATGAAAATTTACAAGTCAAGATTTTTGACAATTTAAAAATTTATAAACTTCATAATTTTTTAACTTGAAACTTAGAAATTTTACAAATTAAGAATTTAAGAACATGAAAATTTGAAATGTGGGAACTTAAAAATTTGTAATTAAAAATTAGAAAATAAGATTGAAAAATTCAGTAAACTTTAAATCATAATTTCAGTCAAAAAGAAATATTCCTTGCGCATAAAAATTTCATTAAAATTAAAATTCCGCAGTTGAAAGACTTTCCTTGTTACAAGATTCCTTTCGGGAATACTTTGAAAGGTGAATCGGAAATCGCGGTTCTGCAACAAAAGCATAAATTCAAGTTCGAATTTTATGGGTAATAAATTCGTATAATAATCGCACGACCCCTGACCCCAGATTTTCGATTTCCATATCCATAAAAATAAAATTCTGATGAAGGAAATTTGCATTTGCAAAGTCTCGTCGGTGTAAAACCAGTCACTGTTCGAATTAAATTTGATCGAGAACGACGTTACATTTCGCGAAAGGGTCTCTAAATCCACGGGGTACACGAATCATCGTGCATATTCGAAACATTCGAAGCTGACAAGAAGGCCTTGCGAGAAATTTTTTTTGAACGTCGATACCCACGCTCCGAGAAGCGTATAAACATAAAGCCGTACGCACGGAAATTTTATTATAAAGGGCCCGCGGGTACCTGGATTGTATATTAACAGTGTAACGCAAGAGAGCGTCGCATAATTTTACGAGCGATTTACAATTGCTCGCGAAGGACTGTGTTTACTGAATGAAATTTAAGAACACGATCGCCTTCGACACCCTCTTCTTCTTCTTCTTCTCCTTCTTCTTCTTCTTCTTCTTGTTCCAATGTAAAGAAGTATCGTTATGAAAAAAGAAATCGAGGCCTCCCGTGTTCAAACTTCTGTGCGCCAACTGAATGTATCGATAAAATTATTCGAATACTTTCTATTCTGGCGGCTGATAAATTTTTACTCATCGCGATGAGTTTCATATTTTTACATTTTTGGGTTAGGTTACTTACCTTCAAGTTTGAGAAGAATATGGAGGTCTTAAGAAAGACTTAGAGCGATTTTAGGGAGTCTGGATAAAGAATAAGAGAGGGTGAGAACATAGGGAGATCCTAGGATGAAGAGAAGTTAGGGAGAACCTTATGTACCTGGGAAGAACTCGAAGAGAAACTGGAAACTCGACGAGAACCTATAAAGAACCCGAAGAGAACCAGCATCTGAACAGATCCTAGAGAGAATTTAGGAATAGCCTAATAGAGCATAATAATAAGTACTTACAGATCTTAAAAGAATCTATAGAGAACCTAAGAAAATTCTAAATAAAAAACGAACCTGAAGAAAGTCTATGAGTCTAGGGAGAATGTAAAGAAACCTAGAATTTAGGGAGGGTCCAGGAATATACTTTGCATCATACCCCATTATGCTTGCATAATTACCCCATTTGAATTATCATTACTTTCGCATATTTCGTACAATATAACGTGAATAAATAATTTCTTCGAAATTCATTTTGGGTTGGAATTCGAACGTACGACAAACCTTTTGCAGGAACCTAATATATTAGCTCGGTATCCGATTGCCGGCTAAATTGCCGCGTCTTCGACCCGGACAGGATACTTAATTTTCCTTTGTTCGGTGAACAGTGCACACGGTGCGAGAACGTTCTCGTTCTTTTGTGCGCGAGAGATGAAATCAATAAGAGGCAATAACGATCACTCGTAAGCCCGTGTACATAATAAAGGGTTAATGAAAAAAAGTTAAAAAGAAAAACCGAGCAACGAGAGAGAGAGAAAGTTATTTCGGGCTTGAACGTTTGTATGTACCACGTTCCCGGTATTTTTTTGCGTGTCAGAGGATGATCTATAGCGCAAAAAGTCTTTGTACTCGGGTGGACGTGATAAATGAACGATCGTCGTTAAGATGCAACAGTATAGGAGAACGAGATCATTATAAAAAAATATTAGATCGATGATCGATTGCTTGTGTATCGTTGAACTTTTTCATTCGACTCGAGGCTTATCCGATGTACCTTGTGTTGTAGTTGCGATTACTACCGCCATGGACCTCGGGGCGCTACTTGTTGGATGAGAAAATGTTCGATGATGATCACTTTGCCGATAGAAGGTAAACAGAATAAAACTGCAGTAACGATATATCAAATGACATTCAACATGAATTTAAATCAGAAATTAAGTCTCCATTTGATCTTAAGTGTCAAGTAATCATAAAGTAGAATAAAATAATACGGTACTTACAAAATCTTGATACTCTTTATTCTTGTATGCCATGTTCCCAATAATTCTAATTAAGCCAGCTTTAAAACCAAAGGCAGGATGACTATGAATATCAGTCTTTGATGTGTCAGTTTTAGATTCACTTTCACCTCCAACTGGTGCTAGATCGCTAAGTTTTTGTAGTGGTGTAAAGTAATTGTTAGACTGTTTTCCAATGGCTTGCATAGATTTCAGTAGATCTGTTAAAACATACTGTTAAACGTCTCACGATGTCCGAACGATTGCAGAGTACTTACAAGTACAATTGACAAGTAGACTTCTGTAGCTCTTTAAAAAGCTGTATTCCTGGGATGATTCACAGGTTAAGATTCCAACAATATCAAGTAGAATCACCACTTCTGTAGGTTCCATTTTATCAACATCGCCATCAGATAGTTTCAAAATTAAATCACTTATTTTGCAAAATCTTTCAATTAAAAATTGAATAGTCTCTCTGGTAAATACAGACTTCTCTTTGGATTGGTATACCGACTTTGAGAGTTCATTGTAAATTATTTCTAACAAATACAGTTTATCCTCGATAGTCATATCATCGTATGTATTGTGTAATATATTTGTTTGACACAGTAAAACCAGTAGAGTCTCCTTCGCACTTTCAAGACCTTCTTTAATTGGTTTTAATAACCGTGAGCACAATTGGGCTTTCTCTTGCTCTGTGAAGTTCTTTCCTTCAAATTTTTTGAGAGCATTGTGTATAAACATACACGAAGCTCTTACAAGAGGAACATGATCACAGTGAATTAGATTTCTAGCAACAAACAAAAAATATTGTAAGAATTAATGTAAAACTATAATAAGAGTAATTATATAGGATTACATTAAGTGTACTTACATTATTATGCTTTTCAAGCGAATATCATATAGATACTGAGGTATGTCGTATTGATCTGGGAAAGTAGTTCCCTTATATGCAAACGTAAATAAATTACACAAAAACTGAACGCTTAGCCTTAAAATTTCAATCTCCTCATCTGACAATTCATTAATTTTACAAGTTTTAATAAAATTTAATGTCCACTCAATAACACCTTCATATGGAAAGTGTGCATCAAAAGAATATAAATTAAAAATTTCCTTTAAATTTTCATAATTTGATGCTAAAGCAAGGTACAACTTGTTACAGTGTTTTCCCCTTTCAACATAATTTGATGTATACTCTTTATGTATGTAACTATTGAAACAAGAATTTCCTAAACATTTTAAGCAAGTAATTTTTATATTATTAGGAACAACAGAATCCTCCGTTGTAAGGATCTGTGCTACTTTGGCTAGGACAGGTAAAGCAATTAAGTCCCTGAAATTTGATAATTCATTATATTAACTGTACATTGCGTATTAGTAAAAAATATTATGTGAGATAAATCATACTCTGAATCAACAGCTGTAAATAATTTAGGGTTAAGAATGTTTGACAATTCGTTCCAGTTTCCTTCGGTAAAAGAAGATTCAAGTAAAGGTAACAAATTAATGTGTGCAGTGTTCATCGTGTCGTTATCTATTGTAAATTCATAGCATGTAATGTTGTTTTTATTTAATAAATAAAGAACGTGCTTTTCCACACTTCATAAAATAACCTTATTTACTAAACGTGACAGGAGACATTTTTAAATGGACTGCTACACTGATCAATATAAAACAGTTAACATATATATATGCATATATACAACAAAAAAATATATAAAAATATATTTATCTAATGAAGAATTTGTACAGATTTACAAACTTCACAATTCCGTAGATTGTTTCGGATTTTATAGAAATTCGGGTTTTAAAAAATAGTACCGCTGGCGCCATTTCGTGGCAAATAGTGATACTAATGAAATTGGAAAATACTATTTTTTTAAAGTAAATTACTTTTATATTTAATATAAATTCAAATGAATATTATGGTTTACTGGAAGTATTAAAATTTAAAAAATTGCATTAAGGATCATAAAAATTTATAGAGGGGTCATTTGGCAGCGACCTCTTACTTTTGTATGAACCAATGATATTGTACGTAATATGAAAATGGGAAACAATTCTGTACAATAATAGTAGAGACAAAACTTCGGAAAACTTCAAAATCGAAAGAAAATTTTTTACTATTCTTATATCATTTCCTATATCATCGACAAGATGTATGTAACATAGTGTGCGAACTGTTTTGAACACATAATCAATATCTTCGGACCCATGGAATATATTCCAAACTGCATATAATCAATATTAATAAATACATAATAAATATATAGTATATTAATCAATCAAAACAGTATTAATTGAATTTTCACGATAATGGAACAGCGTCATCTCTCCAGCGAACAGGATGAACTACATACTTTTGATACTGTAGTTTAATTAGTTCTCTTCTTCCTCCGCTAGACGGCGGTACATAATATAGAAACCCTTAGGGTAAATAGGATTAAAGTCTAAGAATGGTTAAAAATTAATAATTTTGGTAAAGTCAAAACAATTACAAATTAATTAGCCTTGAATTCCGATGTAATTCCACTCATATTATAGTCAATTAAATCGATATGAAACCGGACCCAATCAATATGGTAGTTCTAGAATTCTCCTTTACCAAAAGTTGCAATTTCAGCAGACAGTCAATATAAGGTATAATTATAAATCTTATAAAACATATAACAGGGAGACTTTCAAAATACTTACAATATTTTAGACACAGGAACTTAGAACCTTTAAGTTCCCAAATTTTTAAAAATAAGAGTTTCAAATTTAAGATGTTTTAAATGTAGAAAGTTGTATTTTAAAATGAAGTTATACAGTTTCCCACTAGAGGGCTACACAATCGATACGATTGGTGCTGCCATCATAAAGGAGGGAATAGTTGTAACCGTTTTCGAGTAGGTGAAAGTTTAAAATATTTTTGTTGTGATAAAAATGTGATTGTTTAAAGTGTTATACTATTTTTTTAATAAATATTAAGTCACTATTTTATGTGCAACGAATTCCTTATATTTGAACGATCATCACGAGCAAATACGATTGTTAAATAATAAATCAATCAAGTAAGTTCTATTATTACTTTTAACGACGATTGACATTTTTGACCGCGCATTTGTTAAACTCATAATTCAAATTTCAAAAACTATAAAATAATATAATAACTGCTGTTAATTTTTACTTTTTCTCTCATGATTAGCATTCTTAAAATATTTTTCTAATAATTAATTTTCATCACTAATTATTAATATTGAACTTTTCTTTACAGTTCCAATTACTTCGAGAATCTTCCACAAAAGAATCTTCGAGAATCTTCTAGAAAAGGTAAGTGAGCTGTATATCAATAATGAAAAACAACAATTAATTGCCACGTTATAATAATTTATTTAAACATTTATACACCTATGATGTTCCACAGTCTTGAAAGTAGTTGCTAATTGATACATATATGTATATGTATGTATATATATCCCCCATACACACATACAAACACATATGCATATGTACATATACGCGTTGTATATTTATATAATATATATAGATCGTTCTCGTAAATACATATAATATGTATACATATAAATTCATTTATTCGCTCATCTGATTTATTTATAAGTTAATTCGCTTCGTTACCGCCTAGATAAAGCATCCTCGAAACTTAGAAACTAATCAATGATCAGTACGCTATCCTATATTTTGTGATCGTGTTTATGCTGTTCCTTTACAATAATTACTGTCGATTATTTCAACTACATCGGTGTTCATTTCTATTCGTTAACACATTTCATATGAATAAATTCAAAAATCATACAATACATTATCAACCAATTTTTGTTTTTGCTCAATTAATTTTTATTTTGCAAAAACATGTACCTAATAATGTTTTAAATAAATTTAAGTACTGAAATTTTTGCATGAATGAATTTTATGTGTTGAAGAATCATATTTAAAGAAATATTTCAATATTTTTTTTAAATTTGAAATTGACGTTAATATGAATGTTGTTAATATTCATTCTTCACACAAAAATGTTTTCAATGTAAATTTTTGTAATAATTTTTTCTGCGAAACTATTTTCTTTATTTACAAATTCGGATTATTTAAAATTAAAAGTAAGACGCTAAAATTACTTTTGTAACCTTTATCAATATTGCATGAAGTAGAGGTTAATTTTTTCTTTTATTAAATGCAATTATAGTCATTCGTGACGCAGGTTTCCATTTTACATTCAATGCACAAACGCGATGTCTGCGACTGAATGTAGGTAAGCTTTATTTATCTTTTGTCTCGATTGGTACATGCAGTTTATCAGGACACAATGCAATATTTTCTTACGATATGCGCAAGATTTTCTTGTAAGACGGTATCATATTGTTTTATATGGATGTGAAAATTTGAAAAATTATAATTTGTTGATTTTTAGATTTGTAGGTTTAAAAGCTTGGATTTTTTTAAGTTGAAATTTGAACTTGTATATTTGAAATTTGTATATCTGAAAATTTATAATTATGTGCATTTGAAGTTTCCAAAATTGGAAATGTGGAGTTGGTGAATTTCCAAATTTGAAAACTGGAATATTTGTCAGGCTGAAATCTCCAAATCTAAAATTTCCAAATTTGACAATTTCTAAATCTAAAATTTTCAAATCGAAAATTTCCAAATCCAAAATTTCCAAATCCAAAACTTCCAAGTCTAAAATTTCGAAATTTGAAAATTTCCAAATCCAAAATTTCCAAATCTAAAATTTCCAAATCTAAAATTTCGAAATTTGAAAATTTCCAAATCCAAAATTTTCAAATCCAAAATTTCCAAATCTAAAATTTCCAAATCTAAAATTTCGAAATTTGAAAATTTCCAAATCCAAAATTTTCAAATTCAAAATTTCCAAATCTAAAATTTCGAAATTTGAAAATTTCCAAATCCAAAATTTTCAAATCCAAAATTTCCAAATCTAAAATTTCCAAATCTAAAATTTCGAAATTTGAAAATTTCCACATCCAAAATTTTCAAATCCAAAATTTTCAAATCTAAAATTTCCAAGTCTAAAATTTCGAAATTTGGAAATTTCCAAATCCAAAATTTTCAAGTCTAAAATTTCCAAATCCAAAATTTCCAAATCTAAAATTTCCAAATTTGAAAATTTAAAGGTTATCAATTTTCTTGTTTGAAAACGTCAATTCTATAAAATTTCAATAAAAAAATGTTAAAGTCGGTAAATTCCCAAACTTGAAAATTGAATTATTTGCAAATCTTTAAATTCGCAAAACCATAAAAACTTCCTCATTTTCAAATAAAAAACCATCAATTCACAAATTTAAAAATTTGCAATTTCGTCAAATTTGATAAATCAACAATTACTGGCACGATGCTGACACTAAAATATTCGACAGTTACAATCACTAAGTCTACAATACACTGTACACGAATTCCAAAAAGAAATTATCAGAAGTAAACTGTGTTACGCAATTGATGAAAGATCGTCGAAAAACTGTTTGAAATAGAAATCGAAGATGTACAAATTCGTTCACTTATCGTTCGATAACCTCCCTCTTTTTGTTCACGCACTTATCTGCTAATTTGTTTTATTGTCCCTCGACGCTAACGTGCGCTTTCTTTCTGTTCACGAAACGAATCTCATCCAAAAACTTCGACTTTTCTACACAATAAACACTTCGAATCGACGATTAATTACAATAGATATTCAACGACGTGACTTTTGGTTCGCATAATGTACTACTGTTCGAATAACATATAGCTACTATAGAATAATTTATATACGTTATGTATAATACAGGAACTATATTATCGCATATTAATTGCATCTTCATCTAAAATACGATTAGACCCGCTTACAATTTTACTCGCGCAGTTGCTGCAACGTTGTCGCGAATGCACCTTGACGATTTTCTAGCGAGTTTCTAGCGACAAATCCATTCGAACGACACGTTTATTCTAACTTGCGTAATGTTGGAATAGCTGGACAGAACGAGACGGAAGTTCTATGGAAATCGTTTATATTGTACTGGGTGTTCCATAAATTCGAAACGGAATTTTGAACAAATCAACATTTACTTTTCATCAAATTTTACTTAAAATTAACTGCGAACAATCATCAACTGAATTAATTCAGTTAATTGTAAAAAACCGATGGGTGTTCCATGAATTCGAAACGGAATTTTGAACAAATCAACATTTACTTTTCATCAAATTTTACTTAAAATTAACTGCGAACAATCATCAACTGAATTAATTTAGTTAATTGTGAAAAACCAATGGGAGAAAGAATTCAGTATTTAACACTAAACGAATGCACAATTACTCTGAAATTAAAAATGAAGTTGAAAAATAAATAAATGATAAAACAAATTAATATACACATTAATAATCTTCATGAAGAATAGCAAAGATTCTAAAGAAACTGTTTTAACATAGTTTTAAGTTGATAACAAATTATTAATATTTTAATATTTCAAGTTGTTAAAAACTTGTAAAAGTAAACTTGTAGTTTTAGTGTTAAATTTGAAAAAATCATTAAAGTTTCAATTCTTGAAATTATCAAGAAAAATGATAACTAAAATTGTGAAAATAATTTGGTAAAAATACAGATGAAATTTTAAATATGTTATTTATTTCGTGTATGCTAATTGAGATCTATTTGGTGAATTCTTCTCAATTCAGAAGAGAATAAACGGCAGTGTGAAAGAAATCAACGACCACTTAATGTACCGATGGAATTAACGTCCTCCCAAAAGAATATCTCCCAGAAATAATTCCTCGCGGTTTTTTCGCGACATTTGATGCTGTTGCAAAGTAATTCCGATCCTGTATTTTCGCAATGTC